GAGCACTGAGTCCAGCGCCGGGAGACCCAAAGCCCCAGGCGCCCAAAGGGACCCCAGAAGCGAAGGCACCAAGGCGGGGCCAGCCCCGGAAATCAGACCCCCACCAAGGGAGGAGGAGAGACAGCCACGAAGAAGCCCCCCAGCCACCACCATGCCGGCGCCCCGGGGAGCCGCGGGGACGAGTCCGCGGGCCCCACCGGCAGCCGGCCACCCCGAAGTCCGACCGAAACGCCCCAGCCCCACAGAGCACCGAAACACGCCCCGCCCCCCGGCACCAAGCCCCGGCGACCGGCCGCAACACCCTGGTGGAGACACGCTAAGAGTGGTTGCTGATGGAACCGTGGTGAAGTTAGTTCAAAGTTGGTTATTTGATATTCAAGCTCCGTGGAGTCAGTGGGATCTAACAAAAGGTTGATCTGACTGAGGGACTCCGATGTCGGCCAGCGTCTCTCAGCTGCTCCCTCCTCCCACACGCGGTGGTGCATTTAGGGACCGTCAACAAATGTTTGACCCAAGCGCTCTTGAGAAACAAAAATCAATAAATTCCTTATCTTATGACCAGCTAAGATTAAACTAATATAAAATCTTGTCAATACATAACATATGTCAGGCAAACTTGCTGTTATGCAATTTTGAGCTATTTTGAATTTTTAAAGATATGGTGGTGTCACATAGAACTGTCCATTGATACCTTCTAAAAATCCTAAATCCGCAAGGAGAGCTGAGGCTTCTGTAATGACCTCACAACGTTGGATCCATGATTGGAGGCGAGACAGGCAGTGGGAAAGCACAAAGCGTTTATGGCAGAAAAATCACTCCATCTCCACAGGGCAGAAACAGGTCACAATGAGGAAAACAGAACAAGATACAGATCGCTAGTTAATCTCACCAAACTCCTCAAATAACCTGCCGCTGACGGAAGTCAAGCACGCAACATAAATAGTTGAATAACCAGGTGGAAATGATCAGGGTCAGGGGCGGATCTAGAAAAATATTTATGGGGTGGCGAGAGGGGGGCAGGAATTTTTGAGGGGTGTCAACATATGGCATTTGTTTACACTGAATTTGATCACAGTTATCACTGTTTGGTGAGAATAGTATGTACAGTAAGTGTTTCATCTTAAACATTTCCATAGGGGGACCTACTGGGGTGGCATAGGGTGGCAAATGCCACCCTTAATGATAGCCTTGCCACCCCTGCTGCCACCCCAGTTGGCGGTAGGGATGGCGAGGCTTATGAATAATTTGAGAATTATGACCGCTAATTTCCAATGTCAGACTGCAGTGAATGCAGCACGAGATGACGCCAGAGCGACTGAGACTGATTAGTTTTGAAACCGAATGCGGCAAAGCGAGGGAGCCAGGGGTGATGGGGAGAGGAGACACGGGATGAAACAGATAAAAACTGATTAACTATCTAATGAGGAATTAAATCATAATGAAAGCACAATGTTGCTAGCATGGCTGCAATGCTGATTTTGAGATGATAAAAATCAGGTTGCAGAACGTTATTTCTCTATCTATGATGTTAGTTAGGCCTGACGTCTCAGGCTCATAAACACATATTTGCGGTCAACTATGAAAGAAAAGAGACTATCAAGTTCAAATCAAAACGCACAAAGGCATTGGATCTAGATAATGTTGTGAAGCGTTTTGCTGAGCAACATGGAAATCACCGCATTCAGCTGTTATAGTCATGTTGACTTTATGTTATGCTCTCTGGTGAGCCTTTACAGAGCTGCTACATTCTGAGAAAATCTGATATTTCCTTTAATAAAACCAAAAGTGTTAAAATCAAAGTTAAAAATGTGATACTGATGTAAATCCTGCTTAATATGAAGCAGCGTTCTAGTTTCTTTTTTTGTATATATAGTATGAAACTATCCAGAAGTGACCTGTATGAACCTACTCACTAAATGTTTTGTACTTTTTCAGACTGGAAGCAAAACGTATTTTTATATTGCTTCTTTTCAGATTTGTGGAGATTTTGATATAACATACAGTTCCTGCCTTTTTGTTGATTTGTTGATACAGCAGCTCTATCTACAGCATATTTACATGCATGAAATGTCCATACAGCTCTATGTCAAGTTACTGAGGAACAAATGGGGTAAATGTGTGTTCAGAGTAAACATTACATAGATGTCCAGTACCTTGTTCGGGTGCCTTGACCCATTTATTTCTACTGTGTAGTTCTGCTCACTTTAGTCCAGCTCAGTCCATAGATCTCTGATGGGAAACTTTTTCTTTCTATAGTTTCTTCTTGTGCAAATGCTGCAAAGCTGCCTCTCTGACAGTCAATCTCACACATCTGCCACTCAGCACCTGTGTCTTACCTTAATACCTTTCCTGTCATAAGGCCCCTCTAGAAGTAGTGTTATCATTTTTCCATCTCCTATTAAGTGAGATCACATTGTACGATGTATTTCTAATATGAACCGTTTCACATGAAACACTTACTGTACATACTATTCTCACCAAACAGTGATAACTGTGATTAAATTCAGTGCAAACAAATGCCATATGTTGCCACCCCTCAAAAATTCCTGCCCCCCTCTCACTCAGTATCTCACTCAGTTTGTATCAAAAATAAGCAGATGTAAAATGTCTAGATGTTGTGCTGTTGTTGCATATGTGTTGTCTGCAGATGTATAAGTTGCACATGTATTTGTTGCATATGGATGCTTGCTTTTGAAACCTGTGCAGCGTTTCTGTCCAAAGCGATGCTCTGTTCAACCAGCGTTCCAGGCGGCTGGTTGTCAGACAGCTGATTGGATCAGTCCCATAAGTTTCTCTGGTTACTCTCTGGCAGTCACCTAGTTACCACTCAAAGCTGTGCATCCTGGGAAACGGCAGAGGGTCAATCCTCGAGTAAAAAACTGAAAATATAGGACTAATTTTACAGCAGAATATACTAAAGTATATCCACGTCTAGTGAAGGTGAGGAACAGTGGTGGATCTAGACCAAATGTACCAGGGGGCCAGGAGGGGGGGCCAGCGTGTTTTCATGGGGGCCAGAAAAGCATGAAATAAAAAACATGGCAAGAGATTCAAATATATTAATATAGCTGCATGAAGTGAAATTTCTTTTCAATTAGGTTCAATTAAAATTCTATTTCTTATGAGGTCAATATACATTTATAATTTAGGAATTTTACATATTTTTGACTTAATTTAAGTTAAAAATACAATTTTCTATAAGATTTGAGTTAAAACTCAAGAAAAACTGTTAAATTAAGAACACTGGTCTTAACTGAGCTTCAAGGTAATACACCTGTAGATTGGGGAAACCCAGTTAACCTTTCTCCCTCTTTAACTTCAGCATTCTATATCTGACCCTTGACTTTTTTCCCTTCCATATATATTGGGATATTACTCTTTCCCAATCTATGAAGCTCCTTGATAGGTAAATTTTTAAATAGATATAGGGAGTGAGTGAGAATGTTCATTCTATCCAACTCCCCTCTGATGTATAAATTTGAAAAAAGTATCAGATTCTATCTCTGTATGTCAGATTTCAGATTTGAAATTAGGGGCCCACAGTTGACATAAAAAATCCTGGAAAAATCCTTGGGCAATGTGACTCCAAGGTATTTTATGGATTCTGCTTCCCACTTCCAAATATACAGGCTCCCGATATTGTTCAATGGGATATAGTTTATCGTTAAAACATGAGTCTTAACCCTCGTCTTAACCCTCTGAATGGCTTTTGCAAGCCAACATTATTCAGCTGAATGGGGATAATTTAGTAATTCCTCTGGTCATCTGGAGCGTCTCCCAACTGAGCTGCTATATTTATGGCGTTCCGGCCGGAAGCATACCTTTGAGATTTTAATTTTATTAGGTGTCATTTACAGTTTCAGCTTTTAGATATACCCTTCCCTGTAAGCTTAATTCATGTTATTTATGCGTTAATGAACACACAATAATCCATCTTGCACTGCTCCCACTTCAACTGTTTCAGACTGACCCAAAACAGATCAGCCAATCACATTGCAGTGTGATGGTTTAACACAAGACATATAGCTGTGATGAAAGCAAGAGCTGTCGACCCCACAGCCAAACCAAAATAAAGATAAGAAATAAGAGGGTGTATAAGTTGCTACTGCTATCAACTCTGTTTTGTCAAAATCCATGATTTCATCTTTGAAAGAGGAATCGCATAGAAGAAGTTGTTGTGGTTTTTAATGGCTTCTATTTTCATTTGTTACCCTTATTGGTTGAAACCAAATGGTGGTAGGCGAGCACTAGGTGTCATGTTGGATCAGCTTGGAGGGTTCTGCTGAATGACCCTCTATTCACCAAACACATTTCATCAAGAGAATCCAATACTAATGATGTGTGGACCTAAACCGGAGTGCTACATTTTTTGATCTGGCTACCTAGGTTAATTTTAACTAGGATACAAGAACTCATGATAGTTTAACCATGAATCATGATGGGTTAGTGGTATGACACAAAGATAAACAGAGGGAACATAAATGTTGCTCTGGTACTGTTACAAGTTACACAAAGAAAGGGCCTGGGGGGATTTGAACCCCCAGACTCCCAGATGAGAGTCATACACACTGAATGGTCAGCTGAGACATAGAATAGGGATTAAAAATGGGGCGATATCAAATAATTTTTTCCTACTTTCAAAAGCGAAACTAAGCTGCTGGCGTCTGCGTACCTGAGTTTAGATTCTCTCTGACAACAAAGGTAAGGAGAGACAGCATTCTGGACTCAAAAATCACAAAAATAGCAAGACATCTCTGCAAGATCACAATCAGAAAGAGCATCAGAACCGAGACAAAGAAGCCAGCCAGCATGACCCTGGAGTTAAGGAAGCGCAGCAGGAGATTACGGAAGAGTAGATCGAAGAAACTTGCGGGGCAGATAGAAAAGTACAAACATAATGAAAATCAAGCAATATAACCCATAACTTTTCAGAATTATAAATGTGTTAGATTGGTGTAACTGCTAATTTACCAGTAGATAGACAGTTGAGACATTGTTTCCTTGGAGGTTCATTTTTTTAAAGGACCGCTGGAGTTTTCTGTAATGGCAGACACCATCCTGCTGATGGTGAAGGAAGGAGTTACATCAGCAACAGGAAGTCATCACCTATAAAATAAAAGAAAATCATATATTAAATTGAAGTCTTTATTCTGCTATAATGCTGACATATATATGCATATATCATAGATCAGATAACTGCTGCCATAATGAACTGGAGGCCCATCAGATCTAATTTTAATCACATGGAAGACAAGTCAAAGATAGTATAGTAACACTTTTGGTGAAAGACAAAAAATATCTAATGACCTTTCAGTTAGATTACACATATTTATTTAGAACATATTTATTTTTGTATAATTGTGATTTTTTTAAATGACGAACACAGTTCTCAACCACATCTCTCTCTCTCTCTCCATATTACCGTTTAAAAACCGATCATGTAAACATAGAATCGTCATGATCTGGCCTGATTCCTCCACCTTGGTTGTTTATTTCTTACACCTGCCGTTTTCCCTCCCTGTCGTAATTATCATTTATTCCTCTCAACTGTTTCCTTTGGTTTATAATGTGTTCAGCCTAGGCATTTGGGGCCAGATCATTGTTTTATATTTTGTTTTCTGTTCAGTCTGTCTATTCTGTTTATTCCACAGTTCATGTCGTGGATCCTGGCGGCCAGTGGAAAGAAGGTTTTGTGTCTGTCTCGTCTCCTAATCATCCGCTGTTTCTCCCCTGCTGAGCCCTAATAGTTTTTGGCTCAATCAGTTTTTATCCCAGTAAGCCTGGCTCCAAGGAGGAGTCCAGTTTAAAGGTCCTGCTGAAGTTCTGGTTCCACGTCCTGTCTCTGCTACCCTCTACCACTGAGCCTGCCCTTCTGCACCTGAACCCGGTCTGCTCCTGTGCATTTCCACCTGGTCATGCTTCCGCACTCAGTCGGACTCTGAACCTGCCTGTGAGCTTTTGGATGCCTGGAAGCCTGGATCCTGCCTGTTCTGTCTGTTCCTGCCTGATCTGTATCCCTGTCCAGGATGGGCTTCCTTCAAGTCCCCGGGGCTGCAGCCTAGGGGACTCTCTGGGTAATGTGCACTGCATCAGTCTTCAGTCCATCAGCTGGATCGCACCCCTTTCTAGGGAGATGGACTGAACTGTTAAAGGAATAGTACACCCAAAACATGATTAGCCTTCATTTTCTACTCACCCCCATGCTGAAAAACACTCTGGAGTACTTTTTTGATATCTCAAATGCATCTGGAGATCTGGGAGGCTTCTTGCTGTCTGCTGACATTCAAATAATGGAGGTCTATGGTGTCCGAGGCAGAAAGGTCCATAAAAGTCCACAAAAAACGTGTCAATATTCCTCCATACTGCTCGTCCAATGTATTCCAAGTGTCTTGAGTGGGTAGCATCCAGAATTTACTCGAAACGAAGTCATTTAGAATGTTTTTAGAGCATAAACAGTTGGAATACATTGGACGAGCAGTATGGAGGAATATTGACACGTTTTTTGTGGACTTTTATGGACCTTTCGGTCTCGGGCACAATAGACCTCCATTATTTGAATGTCAGCAGACAGCAAGAAGCCTCCCAGATCTCCAGATGCATTTGAGATATCAAAAAAGTACTCCAGAGTGTTGTTCAGCATGGGGGTGAGTAGAAAATGAAGGCTAATCATGTTTTGGGTGTACTATTCCTTTAAACAACGTAAGTGACTCACTGAGATCATCTTCTTTCAGATGACCATGGTCACTTAGCCTACCTGTGTTTCTCCCACAGAGTGTCTGAGATTGGGTGGTGCCCCACCCCCCTCCTGCAGCAAGGCGAACCACAGCTCCACCTTAGTTTCAGTTTGTTTATGTTTTTATATTATTAAACGTTTTGAACTTCCCTACTGACTGTTTCACCTTGAATACTAGGATCACCTGTCCGGCCTTGACAAGAATACTGATTAACCTTTAAATACATTTTTAGTTCAGCTGGGACTTTTATTGAGGAACCTAAGCTGTCTCTCCACAAATCCCATCTGCACACCAAAGGGAAAACATTTACAAAATAACAAAAACTAATCTGAAACATGAAAAAATTACTTAAATCAGAAAATTGGTTCTAAACATTCTCTACATTTCTGAACCAATTTCATTGCTCCATATTCTAAGCACCAGTTGATGAGCCCCAGGCACAGTTTGGGTTTTAGGTCCCATGAGTTGAAAATCTCCTGAGAGAAACAAGGACATTTATGGCTGTATTATCAATACTGTATAAACATTACTGTAGATCATTTTAGTGTTTTATTGCTCATCAAAAAACAAAAGAAAAGTTCATATATTTCTAAAGGTTCAACCCGGATAGTTTTTTTTAAAGGTTTGTAGACCTTTATTCTTTCTTCCAATGATTTTCCAGCGCTCCTTTAAGTCTCCTCTTCATTTAAAGCAGCTTTAAACTGTGTTTATTCCCAGATCCTGACTGATCTGTCCTCTAAAATGTCACAGCGTCCGTTTTGAGGAAATAGACTTTAGAAAAACAACCTGCACTGTGAGAAAATAAGCGACACTTAGATCTACAGGATCTATTCTAGATCAAACATCTATCAGCCTCAAACTGCTGATCTAACACTTTCTGGTTTGTTTCTTTATTTCAGTAAATGCGCAGGTTAATTATTACAGTTTTACATTTTAAGTTTCATATTTATGTAGGTACTTACCAGAGACGTGGCTCTGCCTCACCAGCGGTAATTGCATGAATATCCCTGAGATTTACATTTTAAAATACAATTAATAAAAACGACCGATCGTATTTAAAGCTATCAGAGAAATAGCAACAGAACTCTGCTCTGAGCAGCTTTTTAGCGGAGCTGTCTGTAGTCTGCTTTGGGGAAAACTTTCAACTGTTCAAAGTCTATGCAGAACAAAGATCATGTGAGCACAGCCTGATTTTGTTTCACTTTCACCTGCAGAGGAAAAAAATAAACTCTTCATAAAATCAAAAACATTATGTGAAACTAGGAACGTCCTCAGACGGTTAAACAAGAACAATAAATTCTGCTGAAGAGAAGCCAGCCTGCACTTAAAAATGACCTTCAAAGCCAGATCAGTGTAACCAGGTGAGAAATGTAGGATTATAGAGGCAGAGAATTACCACATTTTTAAGGGAAATTATCTTTCATTCGTTGTAACAAAAATAACTCAATTCTATACTCACTTCAGTGTTGAACAATACAGTCACTCATTGCTTGTAGCGTCAGCACTAAAGGGATTTACCAGCAGCCCAACCAGTATTACCAGCTCCTCTGAATAGGGCGTATTATCATAAACCAGCTTCCCGTAAGTACTTCCCTCTAGGATAAAGTTAGTCATAGGTTGGATATTCTACAGATATTCGGAAGAAATATGCTCCGATAAAACCTTCTTTGCGCTCCGGGAACACTGTCATCGGGAGAGCCGCTCCAACACTTCAAGTGCACCTGTTTTTACAGACTTTACGGTAAAAACAACAACCTGTGAGAAAAGTGATGTAGTCTGACATTCTGTTTAAAAATTACAACCACAGGCTTAGATTTTGAAGTCAAAAAGCGATCAAGCTCGAATGTTAATATTTATCCTATGCAGGGCCGCTGGAAGTAGGTCTAATTATGAACTGGGGGCGCTGTGAATTTATTTATTTATTTTTTAAATAGATTGAAATTCACTACCTTACTGTCATTTACACTTCAGGGTCTGTAGCACTCAGACAGCAATAATCACATTAATCATTCATCAGTTCTTAGGTGACTATATGACTATTAATCAAAACTTAAAATATAAAAAATATCAATGGATGTACGTAAGTTTGAAAAGCTACATAACATTCAAGAAGGGATTTTCTTTCTAAAATTTGTCTCCAGCTATGACATTTTCTGACTGCTTTCAGACAAATGAAACACTATGATCAGCGTCTTCCACATAATGCTGCCATCTAGCAAACCTGGCCGATGCCACAAAACATGAGAACATTTTATTACAACAGGAAATCTGAAATTGGATGTTTGTTGGAAGGGCTTGTAATCCAATCACTCTAGGTTGGTTAGGTTGCTGGGACAGAGCCTGCCAGTGCAACTGCCATCAGAGGCGGGCAGACAGTCTCCTGGCTGGGGGGCTGTCCTCCAATGTCGTTTTTGAAAAGAAAAACAGCTGTAATGACTTAATCAAACAATTAATTGGATATTTTCAGAATGGTATTTAGATATCATAAAAAAAACAGACCAAATCATTAAACCAGGAAAAGGGATAGAAAAAAACTAATCAGAGGAAGAATCAAGAAGAATGACTCTGCTATTATAGCTTTCCTGTTTTTAAATTAGAGTTGTTCAGTTTATCCTGGTAATTCCACAATGTTAATTCTATTTATTTATAAAAGTATTTTTTTTTATTTAAAAGAACATTTAATCAAAAGAATGGTTTCATTGCAATTTGTTTAAGGATAGTTTGGATTAAAAGGGAAAATGAAACTAAAGACTTCATAAGGGGATTTCTGATATTCTTTGGACTCTGTCCAGGGGAATTCAGAGCTACACAAGACTTCCTACTAGAATTCAAAAAACTTTTTAATCTAAGTGTGGCAAAACCAATAAATTAAGGTGTTCATGGAATTGTAATCTGATAATTGTTTTGCTTTCTGTACTACTGCAATGCTTTTAGAATGTTCCCTCTGATATAAGGTTTCAACAGTGATATGAGGTTTTAAACACAGCCTGTCATCTACAGTAACCCCAGGAAATTTATTTTTTTGCAGCCTTTTAAATGTCCACCAATCAGTTTCTATTTTCTGCTTTGTTTGCCGTACACTAACCAAGCAACTGATCATGATTATGGCGCAGATGGCTGGCTTGATTGCTCATTTCATTCACCTGTCTAGCTCTGCCCTGTTCCTCATTACTGCTCATCTGATCCAACTGCTCCTTTGAGCCTGCCTGCATCTGTCTGATCTGTTTGCCTGGCCTGTCTTCGGACTCCTGTTGGATTCTTCTGTGGACTGAACCTGGATCTGCCTCTTTACTTTGCACTGTGGATTATCCTACCTTTTGTCGTCCACTCGGATCTGATTTCCTATCAGTTCTGACTGGCTGGAATTATCCTTTTTCACTGGGAACAGACTGAACTGTCAAACCAGGTTAGCGAGTCACGCACTCATAATCATCCTCCATCAGATTATCCTGATCTCTAACCTTGTGTTTCTCTCCGATAGCCTCAGACACCCTAGCCACTCAGATCCTTTCCATCTTTGTTTGAATAAATGCTTTTTAAGTATTTCACCGTCTTACCTAAATTGTGGGTCCTACATTCTGAGCTTCAGACACAACAAGATCTGTCCAACTTACAGTACTAATTCATTCCAGACAAATTATATTTTTATATTTTCTTATTTCCACATTTACAATTGCTTCCACGTGATTAACATTTTCATATGCTTAGTTTACCAGGTTAACAATCAAGACATGAAAACATTGCGTTTAACCCGGTTTGAATCACAGGAAGAATAAAACACTGCGGTAAACTCCTTCTGAATTGCAGGAAAACGGCAGTCTGACTTGGTTAAGGAAGGGCAGACTTCTACAAAGGGATTTGGTCACTACTTACTGTAGCGTAGCCTTCAGGTTGAAGCACTTTAGCATCTAGCCTCTGGCAGTCAAGGACCCCCGGCTAAATAGAAAGTTGAAACGGAAGGTTACCTCTTTTATAACCTCCGCTGGAGGGATGTGTCTTCAGAGGGAAGTAGTTCCAGGTTACATCAGCGACACTTGATCACAACATAGCTCATGATGCTTTAATGGAGATAGATGGAAATCTCATTAAAATTAAAATAGGCGAAACAGTTTAAACTATTAAATGTGGTGTATTTATGATTTATGTTGTCTTACAGGAACTTGGCTGCAGAGAGAAGATTATGTGAGCATGTATCTCTAGGTTATTTATGTTTTCACATACCGAGAAATTCTTGATGAGGTGGAGGACTAGTAAAAATCTTTCAGTCTAACTTACTGATTAGTCCGAAGACAGTAAATCATTATCCAAATCCCTCATCCAAATTGCAAAGCAAAAAAAAACAAAAAAACTTGTCTTTTTGTAACTTTGTTTCTGCTATGACACCGGACAGAAGGACCCAGTATTCAAGACAACGCAGACAGTTGGATGATTAAAACATTTATTTAAGACATTGAACTGTGTATCTGCGGTATCAGCAACTAGGGCGTCTATCTCTGGAAACTCTGAAAAAGGAAACACAGGTTAGTGAACATGTAAATCTAATGGAGAAACATTATGAACATGAGTCACTTACCTGGTTGAACAGTTCAGTCCATCGCCAGAGAACCAGGTAGTACACAGCCGGTGGGCTGCCAACAGGATGCGGCCGGTGCTGCCCAGAGTGTTGCGGATGCTGCAGCCCCAGAGAGCACCCAGGAGTCTGAAGCCAGGTCTGGGAAACAGATCAGAGCAGGATAGCTCAGAGGTCCAGGAGTCCAAAGCCAGATCAGGCTACCCGTTAAGATGGTAACAGACATGCTCATCGGTTGAGAGGCAGAACAGTTTGGGATCAGGACTCATTATGGAATGCTAAAAACCCCTCTCTCCTTTGGGTGATTTTAACTTCCATGCTGACATTAAAGGTGATAGCTTAAATGCAGCATTTAATGGTATCTTAGCTCCCCTTCACACTGGCTGAAAAACCCATTTAAACCTGGGAACAATCGGCTTTTAGTGGCAGTGGGAATAGCTTACTGATGTGTGTGTCAAACGGTGGACGCTGTTTACATTTGATAAACATGGTGCAGCTCTGGTAAGATGGATTCGGACAGATAAAACAGTGATACAATAAATAATACTGACTATGCTCTGGCTCCGTCCGTTTTGCCCTCCTTTATTTTCTTCCCTGATTTCCGTTGTACTGTCAACATCATCAGTGGCTAACCCAGCGTGATACCGTCACCAGACAAGCAGTGGTGGGGGACAGAGGCCACACAGCTTGCCAGCAGGGGCCAGACTTGGCTTTTCGTTTAAATGGTAAAAAGAGCCAAAAGCCGAATGTTAGAGGGTCAACCCAGTTTTGAAAAACACAGATTATAAGTGGGAAAGTTGCTCTAGACATTGTTCAAAATGTGAGTAATCCCACATATTCTCATCTTCATACTTTGGAGCTTTCACTAATAAATGGCATATGGCATTGAATATGAAGCATCTGAGTTAACTATAGAATCTGAGTCGGGTTCAGGCTGCTTTGATCTAGTTGAACTTTTAGAGTCAGCCAAACTATTATCTTCATCTAAGCCTTCAACTTTTATGTTAGATCCAGTTCCAACCATGTTATGTAAGTAAGCATTCCCTCTGATTTCCTTCTCCATTTTAGATGTGATTTATCTATCCCTGTTAGAGGGATATGTACCGCAGGCTTTTAAGGTAGCTGTAATTAAAACTCTGCTTAAAGGCACACTATGCAACATTTTTCAGTTAATTAATGTGTTCCATAACATTTTGGATGATTTAATGAGTCATTTCAGGTTGAACAAAGGTATTCTCGGCCGCCCTGGTGGTCTGTGGGGGAAATACCGCACATGCAATTGCAGGAGCCCTCGGCCCACACCCACAGACTCAGAAGTCTCGCGAGAGTCGGTCTTGCTTTACGGCGAGAACTGCTACACGCCCCCAGTTAAAAGCATGCTCGTTGCTAGCACAGTGGCGATCTTTGTGCAGTGCTGCTTTCACACCGGACGCAGCAAAAGCAGCAAAATCGCGTCTGCTGCTTCATTTTTACTGCTTGTACCAGTTAGTTCTGACGTGGCTGAAGCAGCTTTGCTGCTCTGGCTGCGCGGTGCAAAACTGTGTCTGACGCGCGTTGGGCGGAGCTTCACTATCCTTTCTCTGCCTTGCAGCTATATTTGCTGTGATCAGTGGGACTAAAGTAGTTTTAACCCCAGGCTCACACCGACTCCGGTCTTACCGTTGCGGTGCGGTGGGTGCGGCGCCGCAGTGATTCCAAGTCATTAAAAAGACGTAAACCTCTCTCACCGGCTGCTGAGCTGTCCGGCTGCGGTTACCGAGACACTCCGGCGCTGCAGAAAATTCCGCAAGAAAGCTATCCTCGCGGCATGCCGGAGAACCTCCGCAACAAGCTCTCGCAAATATCCTTATTTGGGCCGTGTTATCGCGTGAAGTTACGTGAACTCAAGTGAACTTCTGTTAAATCTCCAGACCTGTTGCCGGAGCCGCAGAGCCGCACTGCACCGTAGTCAAAAGGGCGGTGTGAGAGGGGGTGTGAGGGAGTTGCGGTCTCTGTCGGCTCGGTAA